GAATTCAATCTGAAAACTGTCATTTCTTCTATGAAACAGCTTTTATCAGGCCTGTGCTTCTGAATGCCAAACACTGTCAGCTTATTATAAGTGCCAAATGCGGTATTTAATCCTTCTTCCTGTGCAGAGGAACATCGGATATGTATCCCACCGTATGCCATGCAAAGACTTTATTCCGGTTTCAGCTCAAACTTCCTCTTTTGTCACTCGATGGTCTCCCTTCCCGAGTTTAATTAGTATTGAAATTCTGCGCAGTGACTGTATCCGTGCACGCTGAATATAAAATGAATGCCGGCCAAAAACCGAAGTCATATATTGTTGCGAATTGACTGGGAGCCATTGTATTTTTCATTTCCGAGACCTCATTTCCACCCTTTGCATTGATTTTGCATTACACAGTGTCAGCTGGTGATGATTCATAATTCACACATGAAGATACTTTGGTGTGATTCAGACCAAATTGCGGAATAAATCATTTATTTCAACTGCTGAGCTGTGGTTCTGTATAGCTCAGGTTCTGTGGCATACTTTTAACATGGTGGCCTACTTCTCAAACTCTCAAACCATGCAGGCCTGTCAAGCAACTAATGCCTCTTAGTACACATCTTTTTCCCAAGCAATGTTTGCAATATGATTTTTTTGGAAAAAACAAAAAAAAAAAACGGATGAGACTGCAAAATTAGTAGCAAACTGTGTTTGGTTTTTAAGGGAAAGAGCAGAATGTATGTGTCCCTTTATTTCTACCTTCTACAACTAATGATTTAGGAAAGCCTCAGGGTCTGCATTAATATCCTAACAATAATAGCAAAAACAATTGCTGGGTGTGTAATTGTTAGAACAGTATCTACACAGCATAATTGGGGATCTCTGAGGAACTCATCAGATGAGGCTCACAAAAGCCTGGGGCCATCATTATCTTTCTGACAATTAAAAAAATGAGATTTTATACACTACCATGCAAATCACTCGGGTTAAATCGGGAAACTCCATTTTAAATGAAGGCACACAATGACCTTTCCTCTCCAGAAGCACCAAGGCACCAATATCGTACAGTGTATAGGTATGTAGCACAGATGAAATGTTTACAGCTGCAATTACCAGGCTTATGGCATTTGGTGTTAAATAAAAGTAGGTTAAGTAAATATAGCCATATTCACAATATCAGACCGTATTTGCAGTAAGCCCCATTCACACTGCAGCAAAGTCAGCTTTTTGCCAGCTCCACTCCACTGTTGGAATTACCTCTGTTTCCATTCACCTGTAACTTTACTAGCATCAGGTCAGCTTTATTGCACCACCTCTAAGGTTGTTTATCGGCCGCTTCTGGCAGCCCACAATTGTGCAATCTGAATGGTGATGGTGAGTTTCTAGGACTGTGCTGTATATACAGCTGCTTTGCACAATGTGTCATGAATACTGGCAGATAAATAGTGGACTTTGCCAATCACAGCTCTCAAAAGAGTATTCAATAATTACCTGTTTGTTTTGGTAATAACATACTTAGTTTAGCATCACAGCTTCACAGAGCCTCTTGCTCCTTCATCATACCACAGGGGATGCCTTCATTTCTTGAAATCATCAAACCAGCATTTGCTGCGGTAGCAATTTAAATATTAAAACACCACGCACAAAATATTAATGCAAGCTGGCCTTTTCATGCTGGCATTATCAAAAAGTAATATCAAAAGGTAATGTTGAAACATCAACATTTTGAAACACCCAAATTTTTTTGGGTGAAAACCATATCTCAGAGTGGAATTTGTTTTATTGTTCATCTTGTAGCTAATGTGGTTAATTAATCTGTTTTCATCCATCTATTCACAATGTTCAAACCCAGCTCTGAGGAGCACGGTGGGAAAACGCTCATATCTGTCAGGAGAGCTGACAGAACCTGGCTTTGAACCAGATAAAAACAACAGAGTACATTCACAAAGGTCTAAAGAAACACTGTGATGTAAAAAATATCAAAAAGTTTTAAATGTAAAACTTATTTTCTGCGTACAGATATGCAGGGGAAAGAGATGAGAAAAGTCTGCTTAGTGCAACGTGAATGGTTCCACATCAAATTTGTCAGCATGTGGGCAGCATCCAAGTCTCTGGTGTAAATGGTGATATAGGGGCAAGGACAGTCTACAGCCAGCGAATCGGCGGCATGTTTGATGTTGTTTGATGTGAAAGGGGCTATACTTCAGCGAGAGAGGCAGACAATCATCTCGTTAAAAAAAAAAGCAGATTTTCTGAGCGAATCTTTGGAACGCAGGTAGGAGCCTCTGCTGGACTGACGCTTCTGGAATCCCTTTGAAATGCAAAGCGGGGAAAATGAAACAGCGGCCGAGCTAAGCTCAGAAAAAAGCTTTGTGCCGCATTTTCTCCTTAATTCAAATAATCCCCTTCCACGGACCTCGGACAACACAGGACTCAGATCTTTAGAGGGGAAAGAACAGGAGAGGGAAGGTGTAATTGATATTCCGTCTCCGCTCTAATAACGCCGGTAACATCCTCAGCACGGAGCGTGTGTGCGCTCAGAGCCCCCGGGAGTCGCGCCCTGGCCCCTCTGCTATCCTCCTCCATGCGGGAGCTTCATGCGAGAGGGGAGAGGGGATTAGAGCGCACAGACACGGTGCCGGAAAATCTGCCGCCTGCATTAGCCACAGTCCAACGCGCCCTCCTCCCCGAACGCACCGAGACTCTGCAGCACCCACGGCTTCAGACCAGACTGCACAAAGACGGAGGAGAAATGGCTCCAAGTCACTGACACCAGTGAATGGTGACAGGAATATGAGCATCGTCTTATCAGTTGGACCGTGTTAGCGGTGCTGTTTCTCAGCGTGACTTGCTCCCGCTCACAGCTTCCCTGCAGTTGTCCAAGGGCGGAGAGAATCCATAACCTAGCATGACTTTCCCGTCTTATTTTTTAGGTTATTTGTTTCTCCGGTTGCTTTTTTTCCCCAACCAACTGTAGTTGTTTTATCATCATCACCATTATAGCAAGAGGCAGGCTCTAAGCAGTGATGCAACAGTGTGATGCACAGTAGATGTTGCGATTATAACGTCATGCTTGGCAGGGCGGTTCACTTAAACCACATCTCTACTCCTGGAGCTGCTATGCTGCTCTTGCCAGAGTAGCTCCTTCTAGTGAAAGGAGGAGGTTTTATCCTGGAACAATGACAGAATATTCAAGTGAGCAAGGAATCAGCGGCATAGTGGTAAGGAGCAGAGCTCATAACCATGAGGCTACAGGTTCAATTCCCCGCTGAGGCACTGCTGCTGCACCCTTGGGCGAGGCACTTTATGCAGAATTGCCTCAGTAAATATTCAGCTGTGTAAATGGATAAAACTGTAACCCATGTAAGTTGCTCTGGATAAGAGCAGCTGCTGAATGACAATGATGAAATGTAATAATGAATTATGCAAATCCCATCAACATTCACACAACATTACTTAAGAAACAAAAGCTGAGTGCAGTCGGGACTGGCTGCTTCAGACCCACTCAGCTCTCTGTACCACCTTCCCTCATCATGTCTCCCATTAATCCACAGCTCGTCCAACTGATGCCAGCTTCACTGTCCTAATATGTCCCACCCAACTCATGTGCTTGATTACAGGCAATAATGGTCATGGGGTGCATTGTTTTAAAAGCTGACTTTTAAACAAAGTGAAGTGAAGCAAGAATTGATAGTCTGAGGGTTTAAAATTAAGATTCCAGAGGTGGGAAACAGGTAGTATGATGAAATTCACACACAACACCATGCCCTGACAATTCTCCTCACAATGTCTTTACCACTCTCCCTACCTCCCTACCTCTCCTACTCACTCTCTCTCTCTCTTTCTCACTTTCTCTCTGTCTTCTTCCCCTCTCTGTGCCTATCTCAGTGTCTTTCTCCCTCTCATCTAGCTCCCTTTGAGTGTTGCTGTCTCTCCCCTTCTCTTTGTGTTTTTGCGTCTCTCTTCCTGTCTTTGTATTATTTGTTATGATTATACACATGCTTCCTATCTGCTGTCCCCCTCTCCTTCTCGGTGTCTCCGTTTTTCTTTCCCTCTCACAGTGCCTCTATTTCCCCCTCCCTCCCTATGTCCCTCTATTTCTCTCTCCCTCTCATTCTGCCTGTTTCTCTCCCCCTCTCTCTCTCCTTCTCTCATTCTTTCGTTCTCTCAGTGCCTCCATTTCTCTGTCCCTCCCTATGTGCCTCTATTTCTCTCTCTCTTTATGCCTCTATTTCTCTCTCCCCTCTGTGCCTCTATTTCTCTCTCTCATTCTGCCTGTTTCTCTCCCCATATCTATTCCTATTCCTCGCTCCCTCTCTCTGCGCCTGTTCCCCCCATCTCTCCTTCTCTCTTTCTTTCCTTCACACAGTGCCTCTATTTTTCTGTCCCCCCTATGTACATCTATTTCTCTATCTCTCTTTCTGCCTCTATTCCTCACTGCCCCTCTCTGTGCCTCTGTTCCCTAACCCCCCCCCCCCCATCCACAGGGACTGACTGCAGGATCTGCAGTTTCTCTCTCTCTTTCTCTCTGTGTCTCAGACAGCAGCAGCTCTCCTGGCTCCTCAGTTACACGCTGGTGATTTCCGAGGCTCCCCCCACCGGGCTCTGGCAGATGTTCAAAGCCGAGGGAAACTAAACCTTGCCCAGGGTTTGGTTGGGGGTTGGGGTGTGCGAGGTGCAAGCTGTGTGATATTCAGTGAAAAGAAGCACTTCCTCCCGACTCCCAACCCCCCCACCAAGGCACCACCGTACGCCTGCCTTCACCGCCGCCCTGAAAACCTTGATTAAATGAACAGCCATTTCAACGACGAGAGAACTTAGAATGTACAAACGACTGCCTTCCTATGTAAAGGAGAAGGGGTCTCAAATTCACCAAAAAAAACATTTTAAAGCATTTACCTCACCTTTGACCCCAAGCCAAAACATACTCCAGCTTTGTGGCTTACTAATTATTGTTTAGGATTTTGTTTAGCTTGCATGATCTTTACAGTAGACAGTAATTTAGAATCTAGAGTGGCAGTGTGGCATAGTTGTAAGGAGTGGGGCTCATAACCGAAAGGTTGCTGGTTCGACTCCCAGCTGGGGCACTGCTGCTGTACCCGTTGGGCAATGTGCTTAGCCCAGACTTGCCTCAGTAAACATAACACGTAAAAATTGTAACCTATGTAAACTGCTCTGGATAAGGGTGTGCGCTAACTGACAATAATGTAATGTAATCTATGTTATTAATCTTTTTACCATGGTAAGACTTCAGTTCTCAATGGCACTGATGGCTTTTGTTCTTAAGATCACATTTTACTCATTCAGTAGAAGTCATTACTTGAATAGGAGGCCACTTCACCTGGTGCCTCGGGTGTCAATTATTTGCAGATTGCAAGGTAATTCTACAGTAAAACCTGCATCTCTCTGGCCCTACAGGACCGGCATTGTCTACGCCTGAATGCAACGCTTGCTTATTCCATTCTACTCAAATGTCTAATCACCCTAATTTTTTTTTTAACTTCACTCATCAAAAAGCAGGGACACTCACTAATCCTAGGAGATCATCATCGTTGGCCACTCCAATCTGCGGAGAGCCTTTGATGTTGAGAGGAGCGGGGATGAGCAGGGGGCTCACACAAACAAGGCTCTCCATTCAGTGTTCAGTACTGGCTGCCCAAAACGTCTGATGCGTTTCACACACAGGCTTCAAACAGACCTAATTACAATAAATGCCTTTCTTACATTGTATAGCTAAACAATATACTTGCAGTCTTACTAGTTCATTACACATAAATATAAGATTACAGCCTACAGAGGAAAATACTAATATTATAATTATAATAAATTATATAATCATAATAAATACAGTCATTTTTGGGTACACAGAGACTGATGAGTCTCCTTTAAAAGACACCCTGGTGTGTTCTCTGAAAAAAAGCCAATAGCGTTTTTGGTGCATGGGCTGACCATGATGCCTCGGATTTATTTTCTCATAGAAAAACTGGAATGCCGGTCTCATGCATTCAGCTCGAAGTGTCCTCTCAGCCGCGCATCTATTCTAATATCCTCAAGCGAAGGAGAAGGATAGACATATTGCATGAGCTAATGCTTTCATATTTCATCATCATCTAGGGAGCCAAGGAGACAAACTGTGTTTGCTGTATTGCAAAAAAAGCAAGCTGCCTCCGCAACAGAGGCACAGTGGAGTTGACAGTCACATTTTGTCAAAGGATGAGTGACAATTTGACAGTAACACCAGATGTCACTTGAGTGGAGCTTTGCTACTGGCAAGCAAAGTGCTCATTAGCTACAGCAGAAGTACAAAGCAGTGGGGCTGTTTGCAGGTAGAGTAGAGACTGAAACCCTTGGAAAATGTGTGTTCATACCCACAACGACATTACAATGCCTCATAGCACTGACTGTAATGAATTAAAATGTACAGTAATACTCTCCCTTTTTAGGACTGCAAACTATGTTAAATGTATAAGAACACAAGAGACAGGAAATGATCAAACATGTTTTGGATCTTGGGTGGCAATGGGAACAGGCCCTGGCAGGAGATTTATGTATCTTTTTACCCTTACAGCTTTATTTTTGAGGTATCTGCTGATAAGAATCCTATCAGCGTGTGTGTTCTCATAAATGCCAGAATTATGCATTAGAGGACATGCTTTCACAGTAACTTTGCCGAGTAGCCCCTTTCAGATGACACAGAGGCTTAAATCTTGCCTTTGCGATGCACATGTTCAAGATGAAGGCTGGAAATGACAGGGAGATGAAGTGAGGACAGAGAGAGAGAGAGCGAAAGAGAGAGAGAGAGAGAAAGAAAGGGAGGGAGAGAGAGAGAGAGGTGGCACGAGGTAGCAAGATGAAACGACTCAAAAGTAGTGTGCAGGGGGTGGTTGCGGGGAGGAAAACAACACAGAAAAGTGTCGATGAAAGGGAAAGCAAAATGACAGAGTTTTGGGAGAGTATGGACAGACGTCACGCGGATGACATTTCCAAACACGACTTGAACACCGCCAAGGCCCCAGGCCCTTTTTATTCCAGCACGACTCCTTTGTGCGAAAAGTGAGACATTACGCATTCAGCACAGACGCAGTCCTTGAATCCTCAGTTTATGACAAAAACCAGGGGTATTTCAATTCAAAAAGAACCACCCACAGCCAGAACACTAAAGTTTCACCAGCACAATGGGGCAGTCAAAACCGGCTTCAGCATTTCTGGACAAGTAAATGCAGTTCATCTCAGAGCCACCCTGTTTGTTCTCCAGAGGTCAGATCACACATTTTACACTTACATTCACATTTACATTTATTCATTTGGCAGACACTTTTATCCAAAGCGACTTACAAGTGAGGCAGAGTACAACACAAGCAAAAAGCCTTATAAGGAGTCAACAATATTAGAAGTGCTGCATGACCAAGTTTCAACAGTTCAACAGCAGACAAGACACAAGTTAGCTGGTGGAGATACGAGTGCATGAAAGGATAGATTTGATTCATTTTATGGAAAACAAAGACTAAGATATAAGAAATTGCTTTAGGTGGTAGTATTTCATGTGTTCAGGTGAGTTGTTTCTTCAGGTGTTTCTTGAAGATAATGAGAGACTCAGAGGATTTCAGAGGAACAACCATTCCACATTTCATCCTTTCTGAACAGGAGAAGAGTGCCTGCCCAACAAAGTTCAGTAACTGCCCATTATAAATTGAGATGCACGGAACACTCATTTGGAAGGCATATTTAACACAAAAGCTGTCTACAAATAGCATGAATTAATGCTTCTTTTATAACAGGTTTTTATTCACTGCACAGCTGTTAATTAGTCACTATTTCAAATTTGGTATTGCTGCAAGTATGCTTTGTTAAATGGCAAATTCAGAATGGCAATATGCTTCCCATAACTGGTCTGTGACACAATGAATAATAAGGTGCCTGAGTAAGTTAACTTTGAGAGGTGAAAACCCTCATTTAGAAAATAAAACACAACTTTCAACAGGGTAGCCTGAGACAGAGTGAGGAGCTGAGGAAAATAGGCAACAAAATCAAGCTGAACGATTTATTTTGTTTTTCCCAGGTCACAATCCCATCATTCAGTTTCTGTAACAGTGTAAGGCTTTACACTGTACACTTCACATATACGTTTACAGTCTGTTCAACCGATTACATGTACTGTAGACTCTCACTTCAATCCAACTCACAGACACTCAAAGGAACAAAGTATTAATATGCATTACATTACATTACATGCATTTAGTAGACGCTCTTATCCAGAGTCACTTCCATCACAATGGAACATAATATAGGCAGGCCTACAATCATAAAAGGCTAAAACATGTCAAACTGACAAACTGTGCATACTATGAAGGTTGGTGAAGGACCTAATAAAGGGACAATCCATGAATCAATCTCTACATTGTACTTGCCTCATCATTTCTGTGTCATTCAGAGACCACAGTAATTAACTGGGAGGGCCAGACTGTTAAATGACAGTGTAATTCTACCAGGGAATCACACATAATATTATAGCCTACTGGTATGAGTAAAGCAGACTATAGCAAAAAAAAACTCCCTGAATATTCAGTGTCTTTCACCTCAGCTGCAATATCTGCTGTAAAGAAGAAGCCTTCACTCATCAAAAGAAGGACTAAAGAGATTGTGTTGCAGCAGTGTAGCATAGTGGTAAGGAGCAGGGCTCATAACCAAAACGTTGCTAGTTTGATCCCCCCCCACTGGGGCACTGCTGCTGTACCCTTGGGTAAGGTACTTAAACCAGAATTGCCTCAGTAAATATCCAACCGTATAAATGGATAACATGTAAAAACTGTAACCTGTGTACACTGCTCTGGACAACAGCATCAGCTAAATGGCAATAATGTAATGAAATGTTGCCCATCCAACCAAAAAGCAGATGTCTTTCCATCACAGCTGTATTTGCCCCTTGCAAGGCTTCATTTCTTGAGACGTCTTTGTGATTTTTTTTTTTATTTATTATTATTGTTTTGCAAATTTCTCCTGCTGTTTTGTTTATGAATGCTGCCTCAGTCAGCACCATCATGTGTGCATACATAAGTGCTGACAGAGCACAGTATGCAGTCAAACGGGAGAGCTGGGAGGTAAACATGGGGAGGCGTTTCAGTGTTACCGCTAAATAAGGCATAGTGCATAACAGTAACTAGAGCCTCCTGAGGTGGATTTTTTTTTTTTTCCATGGCCCATGTAGAGCAGAGGCACTGTGTGTTGTCAATGAGATCACTCTGCAGGAATAAATGAGGTGAGCTCATAGCACAGCCGCACAGCAGGGTTGTCAGTCTGTCAGCAGAAGTGTCTCCTTATCCAGGCGTTGGGATTGGGGCTTTGAATTTCACGGCCTCCTTCTACAGCTTAACATTTTCAAAAAAGAAAAAAAATAATAAATAAATCTCAGGAGCTCATAAGAAACTTTCACACAAACACTGTTCTGACAGTGGCACAGCAACGGTCTGAGCCACAGCTGACAACGTCATTACTCCACTACAATGCAGCCATTCCAAGTACAGTCCACATAATGTCTTGCGTTACTTAATATTTAATACCTGGAGCTCACTTTTCCTCAATATCTTGCGGCTGTACAATGACAACAGCAAGTAACGACAGCTTGCACACTGGCCATCAGATCATATATGTTTTCTCATTGACAGCAACTCCCTTGTGTGTGAGAGCAAGAAATTTAGATGTGCAACACTCCCTTTCAGAGCTCTACACAGACAGTTTCCTAGTCATGCAATGGGATAAATCAATATCGTCATGCATAGCAAGTTAGTAGCCTGCTGGAGAACAGACAGAAGCTCATTGCTGGCAGTCTTTATGGTCACTGACCAGGCAGACTTCTCTTATCCATGACAAGAGCTACATTATCATCAGAACAGTTAAAAGGCATGATAGATGATATCTACTGTACAAGTCATGATGCACTCACTGTACATAACCTAAAGCTCTCATCATGTAATCACCCCAAAACAAATAATAAAAAATCATTAGACGATCATAAAAAAATGCATTTTCTGAGATGTAAGTAATGCTGCAGTTATTAATTAAAATTCCTAGCAGACGATAGGAAAATGAGATGATA